AATCTATCCTGATAGATTAACCCATATTATCAAGTGTCCAGGGCCTCATACTAAGAAACAGGTTTGTGCCTTCCTGGGAATGGCAGGATATTGTAGACAGTGGATCCCTAATTTTTATGGCCTCTTCAGACCACTGGTTCAACTAGGAAAGAAGTGTGGTGGGACCGCTGCCTAACTGTGAATTGCCCTCTCCTATGTGTGGATGTGATCTCCTGGAATGTGTGTTTCCCCTTTGCAATTTACGCCCTTTCTGTAATTTTGACCTTAAGTCATGCAAATTACTTTTTAACTACACGGCAGTTAAAGTACAAGGACATGACCTTTGTGTCATGGTACCTCATGCAATATCAGCACTACTATTGCGAAGGTCCACCCAATTGACTAACTGTAGACGAAAAAAGAAAAGCAGAGTATACAATATGTATATGAACAATGGAATACTGAGAGAAAAATATGTGAATTAAAACATAACTTTTAATTTAAGTATAAATCCCTAAAAAGTCTCATAAGACGAAAAGACCCACTACAACACAAAACTAATAGTACTATGTACACATACATACAATTAAAAATTGACAGAGGCTGAAAAAATTGTTGTAAATGCCCCTAAAAAAGATTTAGTGTAAATCACTAAATCATACATCAATTGAACTGTTTGATAACAGGATATCAACTGACAAAGGATTGATAGTAAGATACTAGGTAGTCAGCAGTAATAGTTCTGACTCTATTAGCAACTATGTATCTCAGTAGTTATAGAAATGTAACCAAAATGTAGCGAAAGAAACTATCAGCTTCTGCAGTTAGAAGAATATAGATAGCTGTTTGGTAAGGAGTTTAACGCTGAAGGTAAAACTTCCTATAATTTACCAAGTTTATAACAGGGTGGGGTGAGGGGAGAAAGGGAAAGGGATTAGCCTTCGAGGGCACCCCTTACCCCTAAATGACCCTAAATTGGAATACAGTACAATCCACCCACTCCTAAAAGAGGTCTAATAGAGAGTAAAAAGAAAGATGCAAGAAAAAAACTAAATGAAATAATTCCTAGAAATCAGAAATCACTGCAAACAGTAGTGTGGACACAGCAATGCCCCAGAGCCCCTAATGCACGTTTTGCTGGATCAGCTCATCAGAGGGGAACCGGATAGTAGAGTTTACCAGTTTTTAACCCCTTAAGGACACCGCTTCAGAAGCTTGACTTACGCTTAATGACACAAGCAATTTTTGCATTTTCTTGCTGTTTGCGTTCAACTGCAATTTGCATCTCTCTCATTTATTGCACCGACACATATTATATACTGTTTTTTAAAGGACAGAAAGGGCTTTAATTTGATATAACATATATATATATATATAAATGCTTACTTATTATAAAAAAAATACATAAAAATGCAAAAAAAATGAAAAATATTGGGGTTTTTTTACAGTTTTTGCAATAATAATGTGTGCATAATTAGTGCAGGTTAAGGAAAGTAATTAAAAATAAATTTATTTATTTGTTCTGATTTACAGAATATATAATGTGTCTGGGATTTTAAGTTTTTTTTGGTAGTTACAGGTCACAAAGCACAAGGAGTAAAATAAACTTTTAATGTGGAGCGATTTTAGAATTTGGTATGTTTGTCTTGTAAGCTTAATAGCCATAAAAGAAAACAAAATTGCCACACAAAAGTATATATTTATATAAAGTAGACATCACGGGCTATTTACCTAAGGTTGTTTTGACACTTTCTACGTAGCCATTTCACCGCCAACCTCTGCTAAATATTGGAGTAAAATTGTGTTCTTTTTGGTTTTTGGCACACAAACTTATAACAGAGAAATTCTCGTGTATATTTTGTAAAGTTGGTGTGTGCTATTCCTGTACAAAGTTTTATTTTGTGTTCAGTTACATCTGCTGAGTAAAATGACACCCCCATTGTATGTCTTTTGCACTATTTCGTGAAGTTACAGTGCCATACAGGATACCTGTCCTTTTCAGTATTCACAGTAGAATTTTGAGAGATGAATTTAATGAGCCTTAGCTTCCATTTGGGGTATTATAACAGTTTGACTGTTCAAAAAACCCCACAAAGGCCTACCATTTGTAAAAGTAGACACTCCAGGGTATCTCATAAGGTGCATATTGTGCCTTAACATACCCCCATTTTTTCACCAATATATGCCAAAGTATGTGGTAAAAAATATTTTGTGCATTTTTTACATACGGATTGCATTTTTGCTGGGCGTTTTGTATATTTCATATGTGCCACTAAGTTCAAACCTCCCAAATTATGCTCAGCTAAGTCTTTTGAGTAAAAATACACCCCCAATGAATGTCTTTGTCACTATTTTGTGAAGCTACAGTGCCATATAGGAGACCAAGCCATATCCGTTTTTACCAAACTTTGAATTTTGACGCTGGGCCTATGTGCAATTTCCAAGCATCTTCGCAGGTTTTAAATTCAAACTACCCCACAAAGGCCTACCATTTCTTAAAGTAGACACCCCAGGGTGTTTCAAAAGGTATAGTTTGAACCTTAGCGTGGGATCATTTTTCCGCTAGCTTGTACCAGATGTAGTGGTAATAAGCATTTTTTCTGCCTTTTTGACATACAAAGTGAGTTTGCGCAGCATATTTTGCAAACCTTATGTGTGCTACGACTGTATAATACTTCATATGTTGCTCAGCTATGTCGGCTGAGTACAGCAATACCCCCGTATGTACCTTTGCCAGGTATGTGTGGACATCGGAGGGGCACATTTGGGACACAGCCATTCCAGTTTTTTTCAAACTTTGAATTTTTATGCTGTGCCTATGTCCCATTTTAGAGTATTTTACCAGGCTATATAATCCAAATTCCCCATAAAGCCATACCATTTCTTAAAGAAGACATCCCAGGGTATTTCAAAAGGCATATTTTGAACCTTAGCGTGGGATCATTTTTCCGCTAGCTTGTACCAAGTGTAGTGGTAATAAGCATTTTTTCTGCCTTTTTGACATACAAAGTGAGTTTGCGCAGCATATTTTGCAAACCTTATGTGTGCTATGACTGTATAATACTTCATATGTTGCTCAGCTATGTCGGCTGAGTACAGCAATACCCCCGTATGTACCTTTGCCAGGTATATGTGGATGTTGAAGGGGCGCATTTGAGACGCAGCCATTCAGTTTTTTTCTAACTTTGAAGTTTTACGCTGTGTCCATGTTCCAATTTGGAGTAGTTTAGACGGCTGGTTATTGAAACTTCCCCACAAACACATACTATTTATTAAAGAATACACCCTGGGGTAATTCAAAAGGCATATTTTGAACCTTGGCGTGGGATAATTTTTTCTCTAGTTTGTTCCAGGTGTAGTGGTAATGAGCGTTTTTAAAATGTATTTTTTTACTTTTTATAACTTTTTTACTTTTAAAAACTAGTTTTTAAACTTTTGTTTTGCTTATAAATTTTTTTTAAACTTTCCTAAACTTTCTTAAAACTTTTTTACAGATTTAACATTTTTCTAAGCTTTTTTTTTTACCGTTAACCCCTAACTAGCAGTACGCAGCACTAACAGTAAATTCCCCATTTTCCCATAACTCCCACCCACCCCAGCTAGCAAAATATATAGTTATAAAATATTTAAATTAAATAAATTGAACCCCTGAGGGTTAAAAAAATGAATAAAAGTTAATCCTCAGGGGTTAAAAAAAATTAGATCACAGTATAATACTGTGATCTCTATTTGATCGCTGTAGGCAGTGATCGACTGGCAGGGAAGGGGTTAATTTTTATTTGGACTAGGTAAAGTGTGTTTTTTTTTGTTTTTTTTACTTAAATGTTATTAAAACATTTTTTAAGTTTAATTTTTAACTTTTTAAAGTTTCTTTTAAAACTTTTTTTTAACGTTAACCCCTAGTTAGCCTAACGCCAAATCCCCCAATTCCCCACTAACTTCCACCCACCCCAGCTATCTAAATATATAATTTAAAAATAATTTAATTAATCAATTTAATTAATTTAACCCCTGAGGGTTAAAAAAAAAAAAATTAACCCTCAGGGGTTAAAAAAAAAATCAGATCATAGTAAAATGTAATCCCTGCCAATTGATCACTGTAGTCAGTGATCAATTGGCAGGGAATGGGTTAATTTTTTATTAAAATGGGTAAGGGGGGGACACTTTAAATAAACTTTATTTTTTTTAACAGCAGGGGGCAGGATCATCACTGATCCGGCTCCCTGCACTTCACACAGAACCCGGAAGTGCAGGGAGCCGGTAGGTGAGTATACAGAGCACATGTGCTCGCTCAGACTTGCGGTCAGAGCGAGCACATGTGCTGGGCAGACTGACCGGGTGCTCCCGGTATGCCTCCAATGCAGAGGCATACCGGGAGCACCATTAACCCCGCGATCGCCGCGATAGCGGCGATCCGGGGTTAATTTTACCGCGTGACGGACGAGGTCCGTCACCCGTCGTTAAGGGTCTCCCCTCTGTGACGGACCTCGTCCGTCACCCGTCCTGAAGGGGTTAAAGGGAAGGGCTTGGAAGCTGATTGGAGCATTCAAAATGTAATTATCCAATCAGATGATCATATGTATAAATATCAATTATGGATGATAGGAATATCAATAGACCTTTAGTGGATGACATTATATCTATGGATAGATATACAGTACAGTCTCTCTATGGGTCAAGTAAATAGCAGTTCTAATGCTAGTTCATAATTACGCAATGATATTTTTAACAAAATGAAATAAAAGATGGAGCTATATTTGTTTAGATAATAGAGAGTAAAAAGAAAGATGCCATGAAAAAAACAAAAATAAATAAATGAAATAATTCCTGGAAATCAGAAATCACTGCAAACAGTAGTGTGGACACAGCAATACCCCAGAGCCCCTGACACACGTTTCGCTGGATCAGCTCATCAAAGGGGAACCGGATAGTAGATTTTACCGTTTTTTAAAGGGAAGTGCTTGGAAGCTGATTGGAGCATTCAAAATGTAATCATCCAATCAGATTATCATATGATCGGAGAAAGATTTGTTAAAAAGAAAAGGTGTGTGGGTGTCACATATTGAGGGGAGGAGACTGACAAATGTATTATCGTAATATAGGATCCCACACATTCGGTCTGGATACTATTGGCTGCAAAAAACAGTTAGATAGTTTCACTTATTCCTATCCAAATTGATCTGAAAAGGCAGAGGAAATATCCTAACAAGATTTTGTGTATATGTGTATAAAAGTGAATCATATGTTATTTATTAAATCCTCATTTATGAAATGAATGAACTAAAAGAATGAAAAATAAAAATTAAATAATAATGAAATGCAACTCGTGCATTTAATAAATTGATGATATGATGCATAAACATGTAACATCTAATATATTTAGTGACTTGATATTATAAATAGGTGTACCCATATATTTATACAAATGATAATGCAATAAGCCATATTGACAGCATACCGTGTATAAGCCGCTAGTCCCAGAAATGCAAATGATAAACTAAGCGGCGAATCAATATTGCAACAATTGTATACTAACGAGTAAAGGGATTGCTGTGATTGTTATGCTGTTAATTATAATTGGTATAACAAACATGTAATTATCAAAGTATAGTCCATCAAGGGACAGTCAGTTAAAGTGAATACTGACGCTAAATTAGAAAAATGGAATACTATATTATTGGACTGTTCATTTAAATTGATGCAATTTCTAATTGATTTAGAACAAGATGACTACAACAAAATTAATATTGACCTACTGGAGGAGATTGATAAAGTAAAAAAGTTTCAGACCACTTCAGATTACCCTTTAATGGAGACAAAATTACAGAATAATCTTGACAGTTTCAAAAATTATTTGAAGGACAAAAAGCACCAAAAATATCTTAGGGACTATAAAGACTTCAAAGACGGTTATATCTTCCGTTCCA